GGACTGTAAAATAGGATAAAATAAGAGAGTATTTAAGGTTATACTATACGGGTATATCAGATATTTAGTTAGATATATTATATCTAATATTTATAAAATCTGGGTCCCTGTATTTAATAAAGTAATTATTATATATAATATTATATTTAATGAGAATATACTCTATAAAAAGGATCGTGAATATACTAAAGGCTATAGTATAGAGATTATAAAGGATATAGTAGAACTATTCCTAGAGAATGAGATTCAGGATATTGAATTAATTTTTGAGAATAAGGGATTATAATATAATAGCTTATTAGAGTAAATAGAAAATAAGCCTAAACTAGGAGATAATAAGCAAATGAACTAATAATTAGAAGAGCCTATAAGTATACTAATTAGTTATAACTTGGGAATAGGGAGCTCTATAGCCTTACTAGGAATAGAACTTATAACTTTATAAAGTATTCTAGAGCCAGAAAGTATACTAGAGTCTAGGAGTAGTGGAAATAAAGGTACTAAGCTCTTAAGAAGGCTTAGTACTATAGAGAGAGATATAATAGAGTATACCGGAACCGTTAGGGAAGTATACTAAATTAATAAAAGTAGGAAAGGATCTTTTTAGGACTAGTAATAAGGTCTACTAATAGCTCCTATAAGCAAAGCAGGAAGCTTACCTATAGAACGAGTAGATAGCTTAATAGAAATAGGAGGATCCTCTATGGAAAGAGTAAATAGCTTAGCTAAAGTAGAAGATTAAATAGTAAAACTAAAGAGAAAATAGATAAAGAAGCCAATTATTAGAACTAGAGAAGGGCTAATCCAAATGCACTTATATAAGGGAAATGATTAGGACAGAGATCCAGATAAAGCTAGTAGTAGTATAATTACTATGGTAAGTATACTACTATAAATAATAAATAAATCAAATTAGATTAACTACTTAGAGTCTCTTTTAGGGTCTCTCTGGCCTGATTAGCTAGAGAATTATAAGAAGGAATTTAATTATAAGACTATATATACTATAATTACGGTAGTAGTTTAATTAAGAATATACCTAGAGTAAAGTATTCCGGGTAGTATAATAATAAGAAAAATTTATATTAATAATCTTCTAAAGGCTCTAAAGATATAAAATAATCTGGAAAAGTATCTAGCTAGGGAATATTTTAAATCGGATACTAAACTAGAGATTAATAACTTTAAAGCTCGAAATTACTAGAGAATTATTTCTAGTAATAAAGCAAGTATACTTCCGATTTCTTTAAAATAGATATTTATATATAAAATCGATTCTAATAAATATATTACTCGGTATTACTTAAGGCTAGTAGTTTATAGAGATTTCCAAAAGGAGATATTATTCCTATTTATATATGCCGCTATATTTGTAGTAAGGTCTTTTCGAGTAGCTAGTATAATTGCGGCTTATTTTGATCTGGAAATAAAGTAATTTAATATTATAAATGCATTTATTAATACGGAAAGAGATTCTAATAGGCCTATAGTAGTATATAAGCTACTAGACGGTTTTAAGGTGCCAGGATATATAGTAGAGGTAGATTGAGCTCTATATAAGCTATAAGACTTTCCTGCTCTATAGTATAAGTACTAGATAGATACTCTCAAGAGAATTAGACTCTCTAGACTTAATAAAGAACCCTGTATTTATATAAATACAGATTATAAGGTCTTTATTATATTCTATATAGATGACTTTTAAGTACTTTATTATAAGGATAACAAAGCATATATTTAATTAATTATTACTCAGATTAAGATAGTTTATAAGCTTTATAATATACGGGATATAAAGTAGTTCCTAGGGATTCATATAATTAGAGATTAGAAGACTAAAAAGCTCTGGCTAGTTTATAATATCTATATTAAGAAGATTACTAAGAAGTTCAGGGTAATAGATAGGAAGTGCCCTAGTATTCTATTACCTGGAATTAATCTTCGGAAATATAGTAGTTAAGCTTATCTATATTAAATTAAGGTATATTAGGAGAAGGTTAGATTACTACTTTATACTATAATTATAATTAGGCCGGATATAGCTTTTGCTATTTTAGTACTCTTTTAGTTCTTAATAAATCTTACTCTAGAATACTTTATAGCTATAGATTAGGCTCTCTAATACCTGTTTGGAATCCGGTTTCTAGCAATTTAGTATAATAGGAAATACAGAGAAATATAGCTATAGATTATATTTAATACTTTATATATAAATAACCTGGATATATAATAATCGAGCTATAGGTATATGATTTCCTTATTTAGAGGTTTAATATTATGGAAAGCTGCTTAATAGAGTTCTATAACTATTTCTTTAACCGAATCAGAAATATATAGAGTTGCTTATATAGCAAGGGAGACTATAGCTCTCTAGAGGCTATTTAGGGATCTAAGCTTAGATCTTGGAGAGCTCTAGACTATATTCTATAATAATAAGTAGACTATTTAACTAATTATTAGAGAGAATAAAAGAATTACTATAAAGTTCTATTATATTAATATCCAGAATATATAGCTATATTAAAAATATAGTAAAGACATATTTCAAGTTATATATCTTTAAATGAGTAGTATACCTATAGATAGACTTATGAAAAATCTATTCCGATTTAAATTCGAGAACTTTAGAGCTTTATTAAATCTTTAGGATATTAGAGTAAAGATTAAAATAATTAAATAATATAAAAAAAGGCTTTTATTTATATCTTTTATTTATAAAATCTATTAAAATAATAAAGTTTGAGAGCTAATAATAGGAGATCTAAAGGCACTTTACTATAGTATTAATAAGCTTATATAGAAGGCCCTTTACCTAATTAGACTATTCTTTATTCCTCTTAATAGCCTTTTAAACTTTAGTAGAAGAGCTCTTACTACTATTCTCTTTATTAGATTCGGTAATCTCAAGTATAGTATAAATAAAGTATCTAAGAATAGATAAATGCTTTAAAATAGTCAGAATCTATAAAAGAGAATTAAGAAAAGAGAGCTTACGGTATCTTTAGTAATTAGAAGTTCTATAAGAAAGAGCTATATAATAGGGATATAAGAGATCGGAATAGCTAAATAAGAATAACTAGAAGTATATTTCTAGTAATAAGAACCTTGGCTAATAGTATTATAGTAAGAACTATTACTCTTGCCTTTTAGAGCGGATAAGACTATATTAAGTCAAAACGAGCTTTGGAATAGTATAGAGAACTTATAATAACCCATATAAGGGATCTCTCTGAGACTAGTATAAATAGGACAAGGAGTATAAGGCTTTGGTATAGACTTCTTTACCTTTAGTAGAGGGGTACTAGGAGTATTAGAAGATACTATAGGGATCTAAACCTTAATACTCTATTAAAAGTGAGCTTTATATTAATAGTCAAGAGCTATACTTATAGCGGACTTGCAAGCTACTTAATACTATCCAAAGTTAGTAAAAGGTAAAGCAAGAATATATTTTGGGTTAAAAATACCTTGGATTTATAAGCCGGAATCGACTTAATAGTAGTACAAGAAGAGGTAGAAGCTATATTTGCAATAATCGGAAGCTTGGGAAGAGATCTCTGGAAGGATATTAAAAAAGAGTATTTAATTAGAGGCTCTGGAGTTAGTAAAAAGGGGAGGTTTATATAGAGATCCCCTGGAATTTAGTAATCTGGGAAAATAATATATATTAAGCCTATTTGGATCGGAATATTAATACGGCTTTATAAAACCCATATATCGGACGAATTTCGCTATTTCAAAGCTCTCTAATTAGGCAAAATAGGTAGAATACGGTATTATACCTTCCTGGGGGGTATATTATAGTAAGAATTACTAAATTAGGGCTAGCGTAATTGCTCTGCTTAGTCAGGATCTGTATACTTACTTCCTGAAGCTTTATACTTTACTCAAGCTCTTTTCTAGCTAGTTTAATAAACTCTTTTACTATCTAATGCAACTCCCTACTCTGTGATCTTTACGTGTATTAAAGATATATAAGCTACTTTAATAAGAAGGGCCTGGAAATATAGGGCCTTATAGCGAGTTTGCTATTTTAATCTATACCCAGTATGGGAAATGAGTAGAGTAGAGTAGAGTAGTAGGCCTTACTCATATTCTACTCAAATAAATTTCTTACTATTTATACTCTACTCAATACTCTACTTAACTATTCTAGAATATTCTAGAGTAGTTGAGTAGTATATATGTGGTACTATACGTGATATTACACGTGATATGCTAGCCTAATTAGATAAGGCTCCGGGGTGGCCCGAGTCTAGCGCTACTGTACTGCCTAATTAAGTAGTAGTAAGGCTTGGTTAGTAAGATAGAATCTTAATATATTCTTAGGCTTCCTTAGCTATTAAGGGCAAACTCTTCTCTCAAGGTACTCTTATTATTTAAATTATATAATAGACTTAATAAGAGTACTATTAAGATAATATCTTACTTAAAAAGCTGGGGGTTATTTAAAGACGAATTAGAAGAAGTAAAAAGAGAAGAAAAAAAGCAGGAAAAGAAAGATTTTAAAGAGGGAAATCTTGTTTTTATAGAAGAAAGGTGGTATTTAAGTAGCCTTATATAAGCTCTAGCTTAAATTATATAATACTACTTAATATATACCTTATTTATTTATTAATAATTAAATAAATATTGATTTATTATATTTACGTGACTTGTATATAACTACTCTTGAGTTACTCTAGAGTAGTACTCTACTCTACTCTACTCAAGTACCATATTATGCTACTCAAACTCTACTCTACTCTAGAGCAGCTTGAGTAGCTTGAGTAGTTTTTGCCCATACTGTCTATACCCTAGAGGGTCTAAAAGTCTCCCAACGCCCTGTATCCCCGATACTTTATACCGCGATCTCCGTAGCTATTATCCTTTACTTCCTCGACAAAAAAGAGAGGTCCATTTATCGCATCACGCGTCAAGCTTCCATGAATATCATTATCCACTTTCGTGTATTTGACACTCCGCTCTCCTACCTTTTCAAGTATCTCCCTCCAACCCCCATTAGCACCCGCGTCCCTCAAGAGTGGCGCAGCAAATGCCCTCGCAGTTTCCAGCGGCGACATTGAGCTCTTTCTTTTCAGAGCCCACCATCCGTAGTACGTAGGCAGTATAGCCACAACCGCGAGGATATTCAGCGACGCCGCGACAGCTACCAGAGAGAAATTTGTCGTAAAGATGGTTTTTGTGCTGGTTCCCGTGTAAGAGACGGTCTGGGTTGCGTTGCTGGCATTTGCATCGTCTTTTGCAGCTTGAAGGGACATGCGGAAGGCGATTTGGCGGAGCTGGTTGAGCATGTAGTCTGTTGGGTCCGTCCAGTACACCGTGTGGTTGATCAGGGCTCCGAGATCGCCTGCCATAAACTGATTTGCAAGGGATCCGCTAATCTGGTATTGAGTAACACCGAGGTTTTCATTGAATATAGCATTAGCACTAAAGAGGTAATCCGCCACATATTTGAATCCGCCTAGAAGGGAGAGAATTTGCGCCCCTATACCGGTGCTTTCTATTGAGTCCCCTCTATTTTTGTTCAGTTAGACAAGTACTCGGTATACCTTTATTATATATCGTTATAATAAATTTTTGAAGACTTACACGGTGTAAAGGAATTTGTCGTTGACAAAATCGTCGTACTTTAGTGCAACTGTGCCGTTGCGAAGAACAATGTCATACGATACTATTCCAGGAGATAATACACATTGCTTCCCCACTAAAGTTTTAATTGAAGATACGATGGAGAAGTTATAGGGACCGGGGGGGTAAGACGTTGTTGATTGAGAATAGTTTTCAGGTAGGTATGTAATGTTGAGTGTTACCCGAGCGCCGTCATAACCAACGAAAATTTTGAAATAACTACTTGAAGTATTGTACTCGCAAGAGTTTTCACTTTCAGGAGCAGTCGGGTTGTAATATTCACACGTCCTGTTTTCAGTTACGTAAATATCTTGGTGGGTGCAGTTGACCCCAAGTCCAAAGCCCTATAGAAAGAAAATAATTAGGATGTAATATAAAAGATATTACCCCCCTCAGATGTTGAAAAGGGGGAATTATTTCTGGACTTACTTTCACAGTTGTTATACAGGAGTCACCGCATTCCGGATGGTCCATGGACATATTAGTATTCGAACTATATGATTGTATAATTTCTCTGAGATTTGGAGCTTGCAGTCCAAATTCATTCGAGGGTTCACGGGATGCAAGGCTCATAGCTCCATAAGTGGCAGACACGTTAGATGCAAAACCTAGCGTCATATTTCCGGTGTGCGAGACTAGGATCCCAGAAACAGGTGTGATAGCTCGCTGGAAGAGAGGACCGCGAATGACTGATAACAGAGTTATTATGCAGGCTAGAAGTGTAAGGTTAGAGATGTCTGGTGAGCGTAGAGGATATTTCATACCTAGTGAGTTGAAGATGCTAGTCCCACGTAATCCAGCTTTCAATGCTCCCCAAGAAGATGCCCCGGCATACCAATTATCGTGCAATCCTCGAAGCTATTGAACGTTAAAATCAATACACAGTAGAAAGATATCATGTCTAATACTTGCAGTAGAACCTCGCAATGAATTCCACCAAAAAGAGATAACTAGCCCTTCTCCGAGCGCAAAAGTGAGGAGAATGTTGGATAAGGAAGAGATAATGGATAGTAGTACAGATGGAGCTAATGACCAGCTGGAGATGACTTGATTGTTACATTTGATCGCGATAACGACTGCTGCGCCTGTAGAACACACGGCCATTACCAACGCCATAATACCCAAAACTGGGAATCCGATCCAGAATTCAGTGCACCATCGATTCTTCTTGAAACACTCGCGAACGTCGGACTTTGGCTTCAAAGGCATAGATTCTAAGTGGATTGAGGAATGAACGGGTGTAGGTGGGTCTTCGTCCGCAGTGCCAGCCTTGTCTTGGTTGTGTATTCGACTTGACGGCGAAAGGAGATTTAGTTCTTCAGGCGGGTGCGCTGAAGCCAAAGACTTTCTTCGAATTTCTGCTGGCTTCATAGTTCTAGAAAGGGTTGTAGTGTTTAGCAGACTTTAGCGGGTGCTGTCGATGGTTGCGAATGTAGAAGGAATATGCTTTTAATAACTGGAAAGGATGCGAGCCACGTCACAAAAGGCTCCAAATAGCGTTTTGGAAGGATCGAGGCTTAGAGGAGGTCAAGCCCGACTTAAGACTTGCGCCCACTTCTACGGCTTCTAATCATGCATCAGCAATAGTTGCGAGGCGTTTGTGTAACCACACCACAATTCCTAATAGGCTGTCAATTTTCTCAGCTCTTGCTAAGGCAGTCGAATCCTTGCTAAATCTCCTACCATTGGTGCGTCTAGCCTATTTTAATTGGCTTTCCTTTCCCTTCAGCCATGCGGTGTAGTGGCACAAATTTGAAGGAACGAAAGAAAGACACAAGTGGGGTCTGCTCGGTTATTTTGAGGGCACATTTTCTTTATCAGGACCTGCTACTTGATACTGTAGGCCGCGAGAGAATTTTGAAGACAACAGTGAACAGAGCCGCAACGCTTCCCAGTAGCGTCATCGCAGGACCAGGCTCCCAGCAAACTTCTCAAGTTGGTGACGGTTGAGAGAAGTCAAACTTGGGGGAATGAGAGCATCCTGGGCAAAATGGTACGCACGTGCGCCCCGTGGAATGCTTTGCAATTCCCATTTCTCGTATCCGGGAATGGGGAGTTGGCTTTCGAGGGGTACTCACTGCCCATCTACCTAGCTCTGGGTGACGCTCACTTTAGACACCACCCGTTGGCTTAGTAGTATATATAAAACAGAGTTGATATGAAGTTTGTACCGGAGTTACTCTTTTGAACGAAACTTACGGTTTTGGGATCGCTTCGGTTGCTTGGACAGGGAGTGGGACCGCTTCTCTCCTTTTGAATCCATCTTAGCTTCCTAGGCATGCAAATGCGAAGCCTGTTTCCTTGATCTCTACCTCTTATACTACCCAGCCTGTTTCTCGCGCATTGGTTTTATTGTTCCTGAAGTAAGCAATTCTTATGTGGTTCCTAACTGCTTGTTTCCCCCTCCTATAGTCGAATAGTTTAATACCTGAAAAGATGGTAGTAGTTCACACCTTTATATGGGATTTTTAAGTATTGCTAATTGATAAATTGATAGCGATGCCTAGACCATCATCCTTACAATACTTGCCCGATTGTATTCAAGTTTATATTAAGCACAGCAAAGGCAGTGGTGGGTCACACGCCATTAATTATTCACTCCAGATGCTCAATTAGCGCTTATTGCTCGGTATCCGTCAGGCAGTAGGAATCACAATGTCGAAGCTCTCTTGCTTGACAACATTAGCCGACAGCTCCACCTGATATCTGAAATGCTTATATGAACAAAGATCGTAGATAGAAATCTATTCACAACGCCGATTCTCGGAATCATACCGTCGACATCTATCAAAAACATCAAGATGCTCTGATTCACGCCTTACTTTCCATGCCTATAAAAACGCCAAACCAGCCCCGGAGTTTGCACTTCTTTCATTGCCAAGCAACAGCGTTCTGTGTATCCAAGAAGACCAAACACTATCTTGCAACAAAACATCTTTTGCACTATTCTATTGCCATCAAAACACTTTCGCTCAATTAGGTTCTTCAACGAAGCCAAGTTTCGAGAAAGTGGAGAGAATACCCAGGGAAATGAATCAAAAAAGTCTAGCTCAACTAGTCATACACCCTCATGGTTTCTCGACAGGGACTAAGGATAGGCCTGGACGACTTATACTACGCGACATCCTCGGTCATGAAATTGCGCAATTCAAGCGTATTCTCACCACTCCAGAAAATCTCAATTACCCAGGAGCGGATCCTGGATTGGCTAACATCCCCGACTCGGTCCTGCAAACCCATGTGTCCAAGGAGCACGGAAAGACGAAGCATACGGTCAATCTATTTATTATCTTGAAGCCAGGACTCGAGGACTCCATGAATATGCCATTCGAGCGCGTGCCACATATGGTTAATGGCGGTCATGTCATTGGGTTCATGACTCTCACTCTCGACCAGCACCCTCATGACCCTAGCGATTGTGGTGCCTATATCGGCATAATCATCCATCACGAGGCCAGAGGACAATACTTTAGTAAGGAGGCATTTATAGCCGTCCTCGACTATATTCTCCTAGGTCAACCAACGACATTGCGTAATGGGAACTTAGGTGGTTTAGGCTTGCGCAAAGCTTTTATTGAGACCGCCGTGGAGAATAAAGCGCTTAGGGGTCTAATGGAAAGCATTTACCTAAAGCGCCTCGAGCGAGAAGCTACACCAGATCATGGACAAAGAGGTCGTATGATTGTCCCAAATGTAACTTATACAGTTACAAAGCCTGAATGGTTAGAGGCCAGGAAACAAATAACTATGGATTGGATGCCGGAAGGCCAGCAAGCCCTCTCTAGAGATGGGTCTCCGAATTTGGGGGAGCTGGAACGTGGACATGCCTCTGGCTCCGGACATGGTGCTGGTATTGGACATGCCTCTGGCTCCGGACATGCCTCTGGCTCCGGACATGGCGCTGGCTCCGGACATGGCGCTGGTATTGGACACCTTTCGGGTAATGGACGCTTTGGCTATGGTGCTTACAAATGATTTGAGGAGCACTTTGCTCGGACTGCTTCCGGCCAAAGCTTATAAGGGAACTTGTTAATGTGCCGAGTCTTTGATCAGTACTTTTGTACATAGCCTTGCGACCCCGCTTATAGGCAGCGTTCAGCAGGAATTGAAAACGCCTGACATTACTCCCTCTGTATTTTGATTGGGCTCTTGGCGCATTACTAACAGTCACTACTTGCCAGGACGCCATTTGCCTCACGGCACGTTTTGCATAAACGTTTATATGTGTGGGCAGGTTTTTACGAGTACTTTGTGAGCTGTGGAAAAGAGGACTCGATTGTGGACCGAAGGGAGGAGAGGAAGGCTCCGGAAGCTATATATATATATACGGCCCGGTACCCTAGTTCTCGCTTATTGCAAAGCACACGGCGCAGCTCCGTACTGTAGGAGATTCTGGTGGGCAGGCTATCTCAGGGCGAAGTTAGAATAGCTTAGGCTTTGCTCCGGCATGCTCACCCTCAACTCAGGTTAAAGCAGCACTTGCTCACATCCGTAGACTAAAACGGAACCAGCGAAAGGGAAAATTAATCCTGAGTCTATGGGTATCGCATAACCAAAGCCGCCACACTCACTCCACAGTTTCTTGACAACTATAGATTGAAACTTTATACAATTCAAGTGCACACGATAAAACAAGTTAGAATGAGTTTAGAAAGTTTTAAAAACCAATTCTGAATGTAAGATTATCACCGCAAAAAAAAACGCTGCCGCACCTGCGCCCAAGATGCGGCTAGCGCGCACATCCCTCACCGCCCGAGTGAAGCGTGCGCCCGATCGCAAGGCCCCTTTGATTAATTATTACGATAACAACGAGCATTTTTCTTGTAGAAAAAATTAGTAGAGTTATAGTATAATGTACTAATAGTAGCTCCTCGTTCTCCGTTCAAGGAAATACCTCATTGCGGGCGAGCTATCTCAAATAATAATAATAAACTACTACTTACCCCGCTATTAAAAACGCTGCCGGCAGCGTTTTTAAGAAAATTACCCCTCGTTCAGAAAATTTGGGCAGTAGGGAAGGGCTAACTAATAAGAATTCCGTATGCTTAATAATGCACGTAAAGATCGCAGAGTAGGGAGTTGCATTGAATAGTAAAAGAGTTCATTAAACTAGCTAGAAAAGAGCTTGAGTGAAGTGTGACGCTTCAGGAAGTGAGTGTACAGATCCTGACTAAGCAGAGCGATCGCGCTAGCCCCAATTCAGTGATTCTCACTGCGATATACCCCCCAGGAAGGTACGATACCGTATTCTACCTGTTTTGCCTAATCAGAGAGCTTTGAAATGGCGAAATTCGTCCGATATATGGGTTTTATAGAGCCGTATTAATATTCCGATCCGAATAGGCTTAGTATATATTATTTCCCCAGATTACCGAATTCCAGGGGATCCCTATATAAACCCCCCCTTTTTACTAACTCCAGAGCCTCTAATTAAATACTCTTCTTTAATATCTTTTCAGAGATCCCTTCCCAAGCTTCTGATTATTATAAATATAGCTTCTACCTCTTCTCGTACTATTATTAAGTCGATTCCGGCTCGTAAATCCAAGGTATTTTTAACCCAAAATACGTTCTTATTTTACTTTTTACTAACTTTGGATAGTATTAAGTAGCTTGCAAGTCTGCTATAAGTATAGCTCTTGACTATTAATATAAAGCTTACTTTTAATAGAATATTAAGGTTCAGATTCCTATAGTATCTTCTAATACTTCTAGTACCCCTTTACTAAAGATAAAGAAGTCTATACTAAAGCCTTATATTTCTTGTCCTACTTATACTAGTCTCAGAGAGATCCCTTATATAGGTTATTATAAGTTCTCTATACTATTCTAAAGCTCGTTTTGACTTAATATAATCTTATCTGCTCTAAAGAGTAAAAGTAATAATTCTTACTATAATACTATTAGCCAAGGTTCTTATTACTAGAAATATATTTCTAGTTATTCTTATTTAGCTATTCTAATCTCTTATATCCCTATTATATAGCTCTTTCTTATAGAACTTCCGATTACTAAAAACGCTATAAGCTCTCTTTTCTTAATTCTCTTTTATAGATTCTAACTATTTTAAAGCATTTGTCTGCTTTTAGGTACTCTATTTATACTATACTTGAGATTACTAAATCTAATAAAGAAAATAGTAGTAAGAGCTTTTTTACTAAGGTTTAAGAGGCTATTAAGAGAAATAAGAAATAGTCTAATCGGGTAAAAGACCTTCTATATAAGCTTATTAATACTATAGTAAAGCGCCTTTAGATCTCCTATTATTAGTTCTTAAGCTTTATTATTTTAATAGATTTTATAAATAAAAGATATAAATAAAAGCCTCTTTTTATATTATTTAATTATTTTAATCTTTACTCTAATATCCTAAAAATTTAATAAAGCTTTAAAGTTCTCGAATTTAAATTAGAATAAATTTTTTATAAATCCGTTTACTAGTATATTACTTATTTAAAAATATATAACTTGAAATATACCTTTACTATATTCTTAATATAGCTATATATTCTAGATATTAATATAATGAAGCTTTATAGTAATTCTTTTATTTTCTCTAATAATTAGTTAAATAATCTACTTATTATTATAGAATATAATCTAGAGCTTTCTAAGATCTAAGTATAGATCTCTAAATAGCCTCTAAAGAACTATAGTTTCCTTTATTATATAAGTAACTTTATGTATTTCTAATTTAATTAAAGAAATAATTATAGAGTTCTATTAAATAGCTTTCTATAATATTAAACTTCTAAATAAGGAAATCATATACCTATAGCTTAATTATTATATATCTAGGTTATTTATATATAAAGCATTAAATATAATCTATAGCTATATTTTTTTATATTTCCTATTATACTAAATTACTAGAAATAGGGTTCTAAACAGGTATTAGAGAGCCTAATCTATAGCTATAAAATACTTTAGAGTAGAGTTTATTAAGAACTAAGAAAGTACTAAAATAATAAAAGCTATATTTGCCCTAATTATAATTATAATATAAAGTAGTAATCTAATTTTTTCCTAATATACTTTAATTTAATATAAATAAGCTTAATTACTATACCTCCAAAGATTAATTTCAGGTAATAAAGTACTAAAACACTTCCTATTTACTATTTTAAACTTCTTGGCAATTTTCTTAATATAGGTATTATAAACTAGCTAGAGCTTTTTAGCCTTCTAATCTCTAATTATATGAATTCCTAGGAATTACTTTATATCTTATATATTATAAAGCTTATAAACTATTTTAATCTAAGTAATAATTAATTAAATATATATTTTATTATTTTTATAATAAAGTACTTGGAAGTTATTTATATAGAAAATAATAAAGACTTTATAATCTATATCTATATAAATATAGGGCTCTTTATTAAGTCTAGAGAATCCAATTCTCTTAAGAATATCTATCTAGTACTTATACTATAGAATAGGAAAGTCTTATAGTCTATATAGAGCTCGATTTACCTCTATTATATATCCTAGTACCTTAAAACCGTCTAGTAGCTTATATATTACTATAGGCCTATTAGAATTTCTTTCTATATTAATAAATATATTTATAATATTAAATTACTTTATTTCTAGATTGAAATAAGCTATAATTATACTAGCTACTTAAAAAAACTTTACTATAAGTATAGTAATATATATAAATAGAAATAATGCCTTCTCTTAAAGATTTCTATAAACTACTAGCCTTAAGTAATACTAAGTAATATATTTATTAGAATTGATTTTATATATAAATACCTATTTTAAAGAAATTAAAAATATACTTGCTTTATTACTAGAAATAATTCTCTAGTAATTTCGAGCTTTAAAGTTATTAATCTCTAGTTTAGTATCCGATTTAAAGTACTTCCTAGCTAGGTACTTCTCTAAATTATTCTATATCTTTAGAGCCTTTAAAAGATTATTAATATAAATTTTTCTTGTTATTATATTACCCGGAGTACTTTATTTTAGATGTGTTTTTAATTAAACTACTACTATAATTATAATATATATAATCTTATAATTAAATTCCTTTTTATAATTTTCTAGCTAATTAGGCTAAAAAGACCCTAAAAGAGATTCTAAGTAATTAATCTAATTTAATTTACCTATTATTTATAGTAGTATACTTACTATAGTAATTATATTACTACTAGCTTTACCTAGATCTCTATCCTAATTATTTCCCTTATATAAGTACATTTAAATTAGCCCTTCTCTAGTTCTAATAATTGATTTTTTTATTTATTTTCTCTTTAGTTTTATTATTTAATCTTTTATTTTAGCTAAGCTATTTACTCTTTCTATAAAAAATTCTCTTATTTCTATTAAGCTATTTACTCGTTTTATGAGTAAGCTTTTTGTTTTGCTTATAGGAACTATTAGTAGACCTTATTACTAGTCCTAAGAAAATTCTTTTCCGCTTTTATTAGTTTAGTATACTTCCCTAATAGTTCCGGTATACTTTATTATATCTCTCTCTATAGTACTAAGCCTTCTTAAAAGCTTAGTACCTTTATTTCTATTATTTCTAGGCTCTAGTATACTTTCTAGCTCTAGAGTACTTTATAAAGTTATGAGTTCTATTTCTAGTAAGGTTATAAAGCTTCCTATCCCCGAGTTATAACCTATTAGTATACTTGTAGGCTCTTCTAATTATTAGTTTATTTACTTATTACTTCCTAGTTCAGGCTTATTTTCTATTTATTCTAATAAGCTATTATATTATAATTCCTTATTCTTAAAGATTAATTTAGTATCCTAAATCTTATTCTCTAGAAATAGTTCTATTATATCCTTTATAATCTCTATATTATAGCCTTTAGTATATTTATAATTCTTTTTATAAAATATATTCTTATTAAATATAATATTATATATAATAATTACTTTATTAAGTATAGGAACCCAGATTTTATAAATATTAGATATAATATATCTAACTAAATATTTAATATACCCGTATAATATAACCTTAAATACTCTCTTATTTCGTCCTACTTTATAGTTTTTAATTATTAGATATATCCTAGAACTATATATATAAATCCCATTCTAATTAGGCCTAAGATTAACTATTATTCGAGCTATAAGCTCTAGGTTATACTAATAGAAATAATTACGGAACTATAAATCAAGTACTTTATTTAGTATTCTCTAGTAATTTATATATAAGAAGCTCTAATTATATAAGTAAATTACGGCTATAGAGCTCTCTAGCTATAGCTTTTCAGGCAAATTAGCTATTAAATATATTATAATAGCCTTATTTATAATCTCCTGCCCTATTTACTTAATACTACTATTTGGCTTATATATATATAAAAGAAAAAGCTTAATTTTAATGTCTTTTTTCTTTACCCAGATCTAATAGGCTAATATTTCTTAGATTAGAATAACTACTTTTTCCTAATTATACTTAATATAAGTAATTAAAAGATTATATTACTTATATACTTACTATTTAAAATCCCTAATTATATTAAATATTACTAAACCCCTTTTATTCTATAGAAAGTATTTAAAAAGCTTTCTACTAAATTCGTCCTTAATTATTAAAATCTAGCTTAAACTATTATAGTTATTTAGGTAATTAAATAAGTCTTATAAGATCCTCCAAAATAGTTAAGTAGACTTCCTCTTAATTAGCCTATATAAGATTACTTACCTAATATATACCTGAATATAAAATTCATATATAATTCTTATTAATTCATTAATTTTCATATTATATATATAATTAATAAGCTTTTATAGAGCTTTATAGGCTAAATACCCCGCTTTTATATACTATTTTTCTTCTAAATTATTTCTAGGCTTGAGATACTCCCTTAATCTCTTATACCGAGCTCTAATTAAATATTCGAGTATTAGAAATATAAGTATATTACTAGTACTAGTAAGAATTTCGAATAGAATATTAAAGTAAGTAAAGAGCGGCTTATATTTAAGGAAAACTAAATTAAACCTATACTCTAATTATATTAATACTACGTTCTCTTTATAATTTCCTAATCTAACTATAAGATTATATCTATAATACTAAGCTTTCTTTTCTGTTAGGCAAGCTTCGGAAATAATATTTATATGAAATCCTTTAATAACTATAATATTATAAAGAATTAGATCTTTAGTATATAGTTCTATAGGTTTATTAATTACGTTTTTAATTATATAAGTACTATATTTAATAATCGGAAAACTAGTTATTTCTGCTTTTATATAATTATTAATTTTTGCCTTAATAAAAGTACTAGAATTAATTAGATCCTTACTATTAACTAGGTATATAATACTATAGTTATCTAATAAGGTACTTTAAGAAAGTAGATATCTTAAGAAATCAAGTATTATATAGATCTCCTAATCTGGGCTCTGAATTATAAGAATGAGATTTACTAGAATAGTATTAAAGTTCCTAGAAAATTAGATTTCGGATACTTTAGGCTTCTTTTTAGAACTAGTACCAGGTATTAGCTTTTTTATAGCTTATCTATTAGTAATTTTCATATTATATTTCTCTTCTAGCTAAGGTTTTAGATCCTTTTAATATTCGGTTAAGATTCTTTTCCGGATTTTTCTAATCTATTTCTTATTAGGCTTAAATTTTATTCAAGTTTTACTTAATCTAGTAATTATAATTTCTATAGTAATATAACTAAGTAGGTTCTACTTATACTTATATATTTTAGAATCCTTATAAGGGTACTTATAATATTTATACTTATTCGAATCGGGTTTATTATCTAATTCTTTACTAGTTTAATTCCCAAATATAGTAAAGATTATAGGAGCTCCTAAGTACTTAGTATTTTGGTTTTCTAAAATAATCCGATTAAATACCTGGCTATACTATTTGAGTATAAGAATCGGAAGCCCTAGTTTATCTTTATTATATAGATTACTAAGCTATTCTATTACCCAGATTAGTACGAGTTTCTACTAGAGGGCTATTAAGAACTTAATTACTACTAGAGTGCCTTCGATTTCGGTAATTTTGAAAGCTCTAGCTCTATTAAGTGCTTTTTCCCAATTAGTAAACTAGTGCTTTGGGCTCACTTCTCCTTTACTTACTTATAGTAGAACCGAGCTATATACTTTCCGAGTAGTAGTAATTTGTACTATATCCATAGAACTATATTTTATTAATAAAGCCTTAAGAACCTCGTAAATAGAGCTCTATTTATTCTTTTCGAGGCCTAATATAGAGTTTATAAGGATCTCTATATTAACTATTTAACGGAGCCACTGCCTAATTATATAGTAGTATACTAGCTTATATATCCAGTCCAGTTTCTTGATCTTATAGTCCTATAAGAGTGCTAAATAGTAATCTCTAATATCCCCGAATATTACAGGCTATAGAGATACTAGTTTTAATCCTTTCTTAACTATAAGTCAAGTATCTTTATCTCAATTTTCCGTATTAATTTAGTATCTGGTATAGTAATTCTCTATTTCCTTTAGTATAAGCTCGTTAATTATAGGGGAAGGCCTGGGAAAAGCTGCCATATTCGTTTTAATTGCTTTATTATTAAATAGGTTAATCTTATCCCAGATACCCTCGTTACCGGCTATTCTATAGAGAGCATTAAACTAGTCCGCCCAGGAACTACAGTTCTTTAGGACAATAATCTTTACTATAGCTTCTAATATAATCGCGATTAAGCTTTGAAAACTATAGGAACTATGGGAATAGTTTCTATTAATTAGTTAATAATGGAAATACGAACTAAAGTATGATTTTTCGAAGAATAAATTAAATAAGCTCTTAAATACTCTCTGCGGCATACTAATTAGGAAGCTTATTAGTGCGAGGCCGGGCTCATAACTAATGTACGTAAAGATTACAGAGTAGGGAGTTATATTAAATAGTAAAAGAGTTCATTAAACTAGCTAGAAAAGAGCTTGAGTGAAGTGTGACGCTTCAGGAAGTGAGTATACAGATCCTGACTAAGCAGAGCGATCGCGCTAGCCCCAATTCAGTGATTCTCACTGCGACACTTAATTAATTATTTACTAATTAATTAATTACTTATTAAGTAGCTTCCTTACTTTCGTTACTAGTAATCTTTATATAGCCTTTCTAAATATATTCTTTTATCTAGTAAAGAATATGGCTATTCATATATGGCACCTCCCAGTGAGGAATATATGGCCATTCCCAAATGGGATATGCCAGTGGGGAATATATAGCCATTCCCAAATGGCCTATGCTAGTGAGGAATATAGCTATTCGCGTGTGGCACGTGCTGGTCACGTGCACCGGCAGAAAAAAACGCTGCGTCCTGGCAGCGTTTATTTTCGGAATGAATATAAAAGAAAAGCATCCAAAATAGTTAAGGGGTTCGTTTCCTAGCGAAACGCTCTAAAACCCAGATTTTGGTCCGGCTCGTAGGCGAGGAGAATAGAAGGTGCCACTCACTAATCGCCACACCCCCTTCCCGCTCAACTTGAATTTTGGAGACCTTAACGCTACAAATTCGAAGAATTAATACGACATTCACAATATTTCGAGTATTCTCTATAATCTGGAAGGTTTTAGTATTTTCCAAAGACGAAAAATCGAAAGAAAATTAGTGGGGTAGGCGTGGGCGGGAGGGGGGTTTGGGCGGTTTGTGGGTGACCCCTTCACTCCCTTCTACGAAGGCCGGCGGCATTAAAAATCGTCCATCCGCTAAAAAGCGAGGAACACCAAAATCGCTACCTTTGGAAAATCTCTCCAAATCTCAATTCAACCCCTGAAACTCTTTAAAATAGCTTTGTGAGGTAGAAAAGAAGCATACCTGACTTTCATGGAATTTTCTCAATAATTAAATACAATACGGAATTACGAGAATTTTTATATTGCGAGAGTCAAGGTTGTGCCCGCCCTCGCTTAGCGAATTGAACGATTTTTAATGCGCCCGCTTTCTTTCCTGGTTGGTGTAACTCTCACTGGCCACACACCCCCATATCACTAACGTTACTACCTATACCTGGTACTTGGTAGTACGGAGTACACTCCGGCTAAATATTTGTTAGCGGGTAGTAGCTGTAAGCTCTACCCCTTACCACTGTAGGAAATAAGTTGTTGGTGTCTGATCTACACTTCCTGACACCGTTGGGCCTGACAAGTGCTGACGTCTTCTGTACACAGAAACCAATCAAGTCGAGGAAGCCACTCAGTCGCTCCCCGGCAGCCGGCGGAGGGTGTGCTGACCGCAGGATCGTTGAAGCCCAACAAACAGCTTCCAGTCTTTGCGACAAGATTGATCATCTGATAGAGATAGCCACGTATCCAAACCTCTCTGGATCTGCAAGGGAGCCGGCTGCCGAGGACTTGCAACTTGGCGTAATTGGACCGCGAGGTTTCGTGATCTCGCAACCCGTCGTTCCCAACGTCGGCCCCTCTGACAATGTCAACAATGTCAAACTCGTATATCTTCACTGTATTGCAAGTCCTAGCGATAGCGGTCCTTTCCCGTGCTATCTACCTTCGCTTTTTGCACCCCCTTCGCATCTACCCCGGCCCCTTCCTAGCCAGCGTCAGCAATATCTGGTACGTGTTGCCCCTTGCTCCTTACCCGCTAACAACCTTCAAAATCCGCCATCTGACAGAACCAACAGGAAGTTCTACCACTATCTAACAGGCAGTTTGAATGTGGTCGAGCAGCAATTGCACCAGCGGTACGGTCCCGTTGTCCGCACCGGCCCCGAGTCGCTGTCTTTCTCAAACCCAGAAGCCTTTGAATCCATCTACGGCTTCAATCATGGCTTCGAAAAAGGCGACTTCTACGCCTTCGCCCGTGACCCAAATACCGGTGCCTCCAACATCTTCTCTGCTCGTACCCACGCCGAACATCGTAACTGCCGCCGCAAAGTCGCCGGCGCCGCCCTCACCACCTCGCATATCCGCTCCTACAGTCCCATAATTGCGAGACATGTTCAACACTTTCTCACTAAGCTCTCCGCTGCCAGTGCAGATGCAAAGGATAATGTGCTCAACGTCGCGGAGCCAATCCACGCACTCACCTTCAACACTCTAGTCGAGCTGATCTACGGCCCCTCACTCTCCCCCGCCAACCAGCCTTGGACTGAAACAGCCAGTGGGGAGGGCATCCTTCCCGCCTTTCGCGCCATCTCCAAATTCGGTTGGGGAGCTTCGTATATCCCTCTCCTTGCCTGGCTCATGTCCACCGGGCCTATGATCAAGATGACCCGCAAACCTACCTTCAACGCAGCCGGCATCCCAACAGGCATCGGCGCGTTGGCCGCTCGAGCGAAGCTATTATTGCTAGAGGAACCGGACCTAGTGACGGGAGTGGACCAGCCGAGTGTTGCAAAGAGCATGTTGGTGATGGAGAAAGGGGATTCGAGACACATGGAGCCGAAGGAGGTATATAGGGAGTGTTTTAACTTGCTATTTGCGGGGCCGGGGAGCACGGCAGCGGCTGTGACGGGGGTCTTGGAGAGGCTGGGGAGTGAGGAGGGTATGTTATGGCAAGAGAGAATACGAAGTGACCTTAATCATGCCAACGATGCTAGCGAGAGCAGGGTTCTGGATGCGGTGGTGCGCGAGAGTATGAGATACAGCGCACCGTTCCCTACGGCGTTCCCGCGGGAAGTGCAGCCGGGAGCGGAGAAGGCGATCGCTGGAGTGGAGACGCCGCTGCCTATTGGCACCATTGTCGGTGCTAACAGCTGGATTGTTAGCCATGACAAAAGCCTATGGGGCAGCGACGCCGGGCAGTGGAAGCCTGAACGTTGGCTTGATGTGAAAGGGATCGCCGAGAAGAAGTCACTAGAGGACAGGTTTGTAGTGTTTAGCAAAGGCCCACGCGGCTGCATCGGCAAGGATATCGCCATGTTGGTTGTGGCGCAGGCAGTGGCTGGCATTGTATCAAATTGGCAAATCGAGCGGGTTGGGCAGATGAAGGGGGGCGGGTGGCTGGAGATGCAGGTCCAGTGGTGCGGTTTGAAGTTGACGAAGATTTAAATGCACTAGACCTCTATAGACTGAAGTAAGCAGTCTGTTGAAACATAAATTTGCAATGTACAAAGCAAATTCGGAGAGACGGGGTAGAGAAGTAGCAAAGTAGGTCTGGTGGGAGATGGTAGGAAAGAGCAAAAGTTTGGGAGGGAGCGAGAGCTGAATAAATAGCCGAATTTTAAAATCCATTAGTATTCCGTATTCAGCAAGCACTGAGTTTGCTTACTATTGTAGTTATGTTTCTCTCTCTTCTTTAGATTCCCGACGTCTATGCGAAACCTGCTCTCAATCGTTCGCTTGATATGCATTACGTGCTCATTGCTTCCTTGGATTCTTACTGCTGCTCTGGTCCAGGCGTCGTCACTCTAGGTACTCATTTTCGAGTATATAGGAAGGAGAGCAAAATAATTGAGAATATTCAAGAACGTTGTTTCATCTGTTTCGACTGTGTGTGCCCAGGATGCGAATGCCTCGATCTATTCCAGAGAAGCCCTCGCTGAAAAATGATTTCCTCGTCGCTCGCTTTAAAATGGGGCGATCTCCACCACGAAGGATCAGCAAATTATAAGAGCATATGTTAATCTTGCTGTTAACTACCCTCCTGTTATCATTTCACCATCGTATCATTGTGTGCAACGACTACACCATAATAGCTGACTTACGGTGCCTCCGATTGCATTCTTTTGATTCACCCTCAGCGTTCTTCAGTGAAGAATCTTCACATCAGTTTCGTCATCACGAGCAGTACACTATGAAACATGCGTGTGCCATCTCGTGTAGAACCTTTCCACGCAGTGGATTTTTCTCCACACGGGTTCTTGGATAATCGGGCGTTGTACAATAAATAGAGTCATGGTCAAGATATAGTCACCACCTCATATTCGATCAATTGATTGGCTTCTAATAACGAAGTGCTTAGGAACATATACACATTCTTCAACTTTGATTAGCACCCCCCAGAAACTTGAAATTCTCTTATCTCATGGGTTGTCAAAGTAGGTGTGGGTAGCGAAGTATAAATTTCTAGTCTCAGGTCGATAAGCTTGACACTGTTGGAAAGGAGAGAATTCCGAAATGAAAACTGTTTGAAGAGCACGGCATACCCCACGTGTTCTTTACTATAATGCAAATGCGTGCGTCTTTACTGTGAGTCGCGGGGCGTCTAGCTTTTGTGTAACTACTTAGTTGAGAATCAAATAAATCCCTAGAAAGAATGCGGCCAATTATTATTAGTATTAATTAGTTCTTTTATCATTATTCTACTTTTGTCTAGTTAATCTCATTAAATCTAAACCTCTCTTTCTTCTAATACCTTCTAGAGCTCGTTCTAGGTTGCCTTAGGCTACAAGCAATAAGGTCCCTGATTACTAAGCATATTCTTAAAACCACCAGCACCTTGTGACACCACCCTCACCAAGGCTGAGAATCTCAAATCCAATTTCACTCGATAAGATAAAGCGCAGCTTGTCGTTCTCGCTACGATATCTGGCACAGATATGTCCAGCATTGATCAGGCTATCGAGGCGTCGCGAGTGGGGTTAGAATCGTTGGGGTTCGACGACCCGCTCCGTCCAGACTTGCTCTCAAGCCATGCAGAACAGCTACTCATCAAATATATGCGAACACTTGAAACCGATGATCTTGATAAAGCCGTTCACATCTACCAAGATATTCTGGCAGAACCGTCGCAGTTTACCAACCAGTCCCTACCATCGTTCAACTATGCGCTGCTACTCAGGGATAAGCACACCAAAACCGGTCTGGCATCCGACTTCGATAATGCCATCCGGGCTGCCCAGGAGGCGATAGCACTAGACGAGGGGGACGATCCGAAAAGATCGGAGTTCCTTCGTATACTCGCAGTCTGGCCGGCCGAATCGGCATTCCTATCTGACCCGACCCCGAGAGCAATCCCCTTCTTTAGCCCTGCAGCTCGACTGAGCGATAGGTTTTATGAGGCTGGTCAGATATCCTACCTTGATGAACTCCTCCAAACTGCGGTAGCCAAGGCGCCCCGGGTTCAACCTCAGCGGCCCCTCGTTTTACGTCCGGGAGAGAAGTACTTGGCCGAAGTTTCCCTGGATGTCCCAGAAGACATCCAAGTGACGGGCTGCTCGAACCCGGCGATGTTTCTAAACAACATGGGCCTATCGCTCGGGATGAGATATAGGGAACTGGGGGCAGAGAAAGATATCTACCAAGGCATTAGTGTACTTCAAGAGGCTATCAAGTCCACTGAAGCAGATGATCCCAACCATTCAGACCTTCCCCTATTCTGGAATAATCTCGGACTGCTCCTTGAGCACCGGTACGAAAGGACGAAAGCCATGGACGACTTGGAAGAATCGTCCCGACTTCTAAAGCAGTCAGTGAAGGCCACGCCACGAGGAGACCCGGCTTACCCGACAAGGTTGAATAATCTTGGGTTGGTGCATGGTCATCTGTTTTCGAGAACACGCAATATTGGGCGTTTGCATGACGCGATTTGGGCTACTTCAGAGGCTGTGAAAATGGCTAAAAAAACACATCCGAATGACCTGGACTTGCCACTCTTCTTAAACAATCTCGGACGACTGTACGGTGACTGGGCAGACGTCACAGAGAGCTCGGAGCTCAGGGACACCGCCATGTTAAACCTTCAGGCGGCAGTGGAAGGCGCACGTTCACAACAGCCACCTCATGACGACCTTGCCATGTTCCTGAACAACCTCTCAGGGGCTTTCCAGGAGAAATACCATGCCGGAAAATTGCCAGGTGACCTCGACAAGGCTGTCGTGTCGCTCAAGGACGCTGTGGCGGCGACCCCTAAAACCCATCCAGATCGGGCCGTACGACTCTACAATCTTGGGTTGCTCCTGCGAGAGGAACATAGCAGGGACGATAACCTGCAGGCTGCCATTTCGTGCTTCCAGGAAGCGCTGGATGCAACTGCTGCTCCCGTAATGAGCCGCATCGTCGCCGGCCGTGAGGTCCTCGCCTGCTGCCTCGATAACCTTAACCTGAACCTTACGTGCGACTGGGACCAGGCCTACGAAGCGCTGGACAAGGCGGTCCGTCTTGTACCCGCATTGGCGCCCAAGTCACTCGGGAATGTCGACAAGCAGTACGTGCTGAGCCAGGTCGTCGGCCTCACATCAGACGCAGCCGCGGTGGCTCTGGAAGCAGGGAAAGGAGCCGTCGTCGCACTCAAGCTACTCGAGATTGGCCGCGGCATCATTGCTAAGTCGCTCGAGGACGTACGAACTGAGGCGCCTGTGAGGGCTCTGCGGGCTCATGACCCAAAACTGGCGGAGCAGTTCATTAGGATCCGCGACGAGCTGGACTTCTCCGCCTGGAGCGCTGGGTCAGGGCCCTCGTGGCTCGACGAGGCCAGCCGGCGGCATGATATCATGCGCCAGTTCGAAGATCTGGTGGAGGCGATCCGACAGAGGTCGGGATTTCAGGGCTTTCTCCTCCCTCCGAGCCAAGAGGATCTCCAGGCCGCTGCGGAGCACGGCCCTATTGTCCTTGTCAATGTGAGCAGGCGGCTCGGCCGCTGCGATGCATTTCTTGTCGAGAGACACCAGATACGGGTCCTCGCGCTCCCCGGTCTTAGGTATGGCGACCTGGAGAAGAACTCGAAGGGGAGGGATCTAGGCAACATCAAGATCCTGGAGTGGTTGTGGGATGCTCTTACACGACCCGTGCTGGACGCCCTCGGATTCGATCACCCGCCGTCAGATGAAAACTGGCCGCGTCTGTGGTGGGTTCCGACGGGCCTATTGACGAGATTCCCTCTCCATGCTACGGGACGCTACCAGAAAGCGTCAGTGGACACTGTTCTTGATCGCGTTATGTCGTCCTATGCATCTTCTATTCAGAGTATCATATCCGGACGCCGTCAGGGCCCCCAAGAATACGCCACGGGTAGCCAGAAGGCCCTCCTGGTCCGTATGGAAAACACCCTTGGACACACCAAGCTGCAGTACGCGGCGGACGAGATCGATTCCCTCCGAAACTTGCTCGAGACGATGAACGTTCCATTCGTCGAACCTGAACGACGCAAAGCCGACATCCTGTCGCACCTGCCGGCCTGTACCCTCTTCCACTTCGCCGGCCACGCGACTGCGGACGAGGCCGATCCGTCGCGGAGCTTCCTGGCACTCGAGGACTGGGACGTGGACAGGCTCACCGTGGCCGACCTGCGAGATCTGAACCTGTGGCAGAACGCGCCATTCCTTGCCTACCTCTCGGCCTGCAACACTAGTCAGATCAAGGATGGTTCACTTTTCGACGAGAATGTCCACCTCGTGAGCGCCTTCCAGCTTGCGGGGTTCCGCCACGTCGTTGGAACGCTGTGGGAGGTGCAGGACCGTTCGAGCTCTGAGATGGCACGCATCACATACAAGACGATGCATGACGACGACCTAACGGATGTATCCGTCTGCCGCGGCCTCCATCGCGCGTCCAGGGAGCTACGTGACCGGTGGTGGGCAGGCAAACCGGGAGCGGAGGGCACAGTAATCGCGGAGGGGGCTGAGAAGCAGGAGCAAGGTTTAGCTATTATTCGGGACGACAACACTGGGAAGGGCGAGACAGTGCCACGAGACGGGACACTTCTAATAGCTATGGGAAAGTCGGGTAAGGGTGGAGATGAGGGCGGGGCAAAGGACTTTGGGGAGGCTTTCTGGGTTCCTTATGTTCATTTTGGGGTATGACGTCTAAACTAATTGCAATCTGTGAGTGGTCGTGCAGTCTATAAATAATGCGGGACTCTCTGAAGAATTCATCAGGGGCACTATAATGCTGTTGAGAAATGAGGAAGGTCTGAGTTTGTAGGTACGCAGCTCCCTATCTCGTACGTCTCCCCTAAGTCTCCCATAGAATCTCCGGTATCCAACTATATTCGGCCAAACCATGCTTACACCACACCTAAAATTCGCTACTAAACCGGAGATTGAATAAAGTCGATTTCTCTAACTAGATTGATTACCCGAAACACAGTGCTTAGGATTTTAGTCGGCAATTGCGCAAGTTCCTCAGGCCTGCTGGGAAAAGCAGGAGCCGACCCTGTGTCCATACTTCAGGTTGTGGCAGACCGGCATCACGTGACAGTCAGATCACCGGTGCAGAGGAAGCCACTGTAGATGCCTGATCGTGTTACCCTTACCCCGCGATCCAATAGCTTTGCCTGCAGTCTTTTCACATGGTCCCGTCCTATTGTATTCGCATATCAACTATGTCAGCCCGGCAACACTTCTAGTACAGTTAAATACTTTATCTGGCTCCCCTCACAGCGCTTTCTCGGGCCTTCCCACGCTTTCCCGGTCGCTATGATGGCTGCTCAAGACTCGCAGCCAACGCGCTGGGTTGTTCTGATTGGGATCGGGCTGACAGTCGGTGATCCCCGCCGACTGCCTGTAGGTTCGGATCAGGACAGGTCGCTCAAAGGGGCAGTCCCAGATGTTATTACCATGAATGAATATCTCAGAACAGAGCCGTACAAGGTGAATACCACCATGCTCACGGCGACGAAAGTGCAGGACGGCGGCGCGCCCAGGCCAGTGGAGACGAGAGAATGCCTGCCAACAAACGACAATGTCACCTCAAGTTTCAATCGAATTCTGGACCGAGCCAGGTCTGAAGACTACGTATATATTCATTACTCCGGCCACGGAACCCGGCGCAACTTTGATGGTGCCGTCGCAATAGAGCTGGTCAATCCCACCACCTTCATGCCCGAGTACCTCTACGGAACCACCTTGCGAAATGCCATTAAGGCAATGATCAGCAGAGGATTGAGAGTCACCCTTGTCTTGGACTGCTGCTTTTCGGGAGGCGCTCTTCGAACGCGCCAAACCAATGTTCGGTACCTCGAGCATGACCCCGAGATTGATATGCAGTCCGACTACAGCGACCCTTGGGCCAAAGGGCTTCCTGGCGAGCTGCGTAACGGTGTGGTTAACCTTGAACGACTGCTGGATCCCGAAGGATACACCATACTGGCCGCTTGTGGCGATGGTGAGGTTGCTTCGGAGCTGAAATTTGAGGGCGGCGCCAGCCGGGGGGCACTAAGCTACTTCTTGGTCGATTCACTCACGTTACTGAGAAGACGGGGTGCCATGGTCTCCAGTCAGACTCTCCACCAGCATATCCGAGCACAGTTCCATGCTAGCCTGCTGGAGCAGACCCCGATGCTGTACGGCAATCAAGGGTTTTCGTTCTTTGGTGTGTTGACAAGGCATGCAGACCTTTCCATAGTCGACGTCTATCGGACAAGAGCAGACGGTCATCTCACCCTCAGCGCCGGACAAGCTCACCGAGTACACCAGGGGGATGAATATGCCTTAAGTCCATTCGAAACCCGGGAGAACATCAATGTTATGGTGTCTGCGGCCGTTAGAGGGAAGGTAGACAGCGTGGGTTGCCTCGACTCTAGACTGGCTAAGTCGATCCTCGGGATTTGGAGAAAATCGCTAAGGGGGCGGCTTGGAAAGCAGTTCTGGTCACCTCTTTGTCTTCTCGCAAGATTCGTATAAGCTTAGGACCAGATGTACCGGACAGGAACGAATTAATACACGCGTCATCATCCTACAACTTTCTCGTCCTCTCTGGCAACACGGAAGCCAGCGATATGGGGAACTCGGTATTTCATGTCGTCATGAACGCACAACATGCGTATGAAATCCGAGATCTCACCTCCAAAAAGATCCACAACTTGGCAGCGATGGCCCAGGATAAAAATGGGTCCCATGCAAAGCTGTTGAATGTGCTTGACCACGTAGCAAAATATAAATATTTCGAAGGAATCAACAATCAATTTCCAAGCCCATCATTCGAGAACTCATTCCGGCTGAGTACCGAGGCCAACCCAGCAGAAGACGGACACTACAACGTCAAGCATCAGGAGAAGCTGACTCTATTGTTCGAGAATCTTGCCGAGCATCCCCTCTATTTGGCAATCTTCATTTTCACTCAGCTCTGGGAGGTCCGTAATTTGGCGTCGGAAAGTGGAGAAGATACGTACCTGCCAGTGGAGCCCAGAGACGGCAGAAATGTGGGAAGCCTGGAGCTTCCTCTTACTATGTGGGTCCCAAAAGAGCTGCAGGACGAGGGGAATCGATGGACAGAGGATACGATTAAGATTCTTGTCACCAGGCAGCCGTCTACATTCCCAGGACGGGTGCTTCTTCCACTTAGTCACGATTCTCAGCGGGGTGGTGAGCCAGATCCACTGTCAACAATACTTCAGGTGTTGAGAGGCGATTCGTCCAGGGACGGGGCCAATGGCCCATTTGAATGGACGACTCGGACATTCCTCATACGTACGCACAGTGAAAACTCTGTGTAATTGAACCGTCCAATGTTAAACCCTAGAAACTCTGTGGGATACGTAGAAAACAAGTAGATACAGATTTCCTTCGCTTAGTTAAATGGATCGTGTAGCTCCAAGTCGCCTTCATCAAAAGCATTCCCGCCCTTCGCAGAGATCCCATACTCATCGCACAGAGTATACTTTCCATCCTCAGCCAATTCAACCTTATAAGGTCCCTCGCGCTGGCCGGAGACGCACAGCCATACTTTGTCACCGGGGGAGTACTTATACTCCTTTCCGTAATCGTCAACTCCTGGCTTCTTATCGCCGACGACAAAGTCGTGATTATCAACGCTGTTATGCAATACATTAGAACTGGTCCTGCGCGTAGGGCGGCTTGGTCCTACTGGTTTTTTTCACTCATTTTGACTGTGGGGTGTTAGGTACCGATGATCCAAGCAAGATTCTCGTTGTCTAGCGAGCAACAACTGGACAGTGTGAATGCAGGCTAGAAAAGCCGAGAAGCAGCTTGCAGCTCCTAGAATCCGTGTTGTGCTTTTGTAGTGACTGAACACTTGAAAAGGCGGCGCAACATGACTTCGGCTGCCAATTGATATGCAACACGTTCCACTGCAGGAGGGCTGCATGCATTTTCCGCCCGGGTCGGGCGGTGCAATCAGGCTCCAGCCTTACCACAGTGCCTCGCTTTCAAATAACACTCTCCCGGGAACATATCGGATCCTTGGTAAGGCCCGATCGCTCTATCTATTTCATCTGCTTCGTAAGTTTCCCATCTGGGCAGATGAAATTGGGTTTAGGTGGCAGATCCCAAACTATTATAGCGGATATGGAGTTAGGGCGCGCGCACGATCAGCCGAGGAACCACCAGAGGACAGCAGGCGTGGCGATGATCCTGGAACGATCCGTATCGTTCCTAAGCGAGATTGTACCTTAGGCCTTAAACTGCCCTATAATTATAGGGAGCTTATAGCGTACTTCCACTTAGATTTATAAATGACTTTATAACTACTAATCGTATAAAAAAACTTTTAGTTACGTAATTACTCTATTTAATCCTAGCTTTCTATTTATATTATATGTAGGAAATTTAGATTTAAGCTTATCTCGATGCGGCAAAAAGAAGTGTTTTGAGTTTTCGTGAGGCTCGTTTAATTAGGAAGTACCTCCTATACAAATTTACTATGTAAGGTTCTTTCCCCTGGACCGTTCCAACCGTTCCAGGATTATCGCCAAGCCTGGCTCAGGACAGAAACGTCTCCGGACAGATAAATCGAACATAAGGTTTCAGATCGATAAGAAGGCAGTAAAGCGTATTTCGGAGCTTTAATAATGCCCCCGCAATTCCATTGCTTATATAATATCTTGACTCAAGATACAGCGATTTTGGTAGTATTCGAGGCCAAATTTGCATCGGCCCAATATACTATTCTTAGAAGTTATTAAATATAGAAATATATTACTATTTAAAGCTTTAGTAATATAATATTGCTATATATTCGTAATTTAATATATATTGATTTTTAATACAAAATCGGCTACTTATATATAATTATAATATTAATCTCATTATATATACTAATATTCGAAAGTTAAATAATAAGTATAACTAGTAATAAAAGAAAGAAATAGCTATCTATTATATATACTTATTAGTATTTAATTACATTATAATTACTATTAAAAATTCTGTATTTTATAAATATTTTTTTTAAAATATTAAATAAAAAGATATATATTTATTATTACTTTAATAATTAAAACTATAATACTTAATAAAATAAATATTTAAATTAAATTAAATTACTTGTATAGTTTTCTTTAGTTTTAAACCCCGATTTTGCTTTATTATAAATTATTTAAACGATTTTAATTTATATTTCAAAGCTTTATATATTAATATAAAAAATATATAATATAATATATTAAGAAACTATTTAATATAAATATTTAATATAATGCTTATTAAATACTTAAATACTAATTATAAAAGTAATTTATAAGATAATAAATTAACTTCTAATATAGTTTTTATCTTATTTAATAATTTTATTAATTAAGCTAGTATTAAATAAAAAAAACTATTATAATAGCTATTATTATAACTAAATATATTACTTTATTACTAGTAATAAAAAAGCCTTTTAATTAAGGTAATTATTTAAAGAAATAATAACTAATATTTTTATTAAATTATTTTTTAAACTAGCTTTTAAACTATTATATTTAAAGCTAGAACTTATTAGCTTTATTAATATTAAACTTTACTTATAAGAAAGAAATATATTAAATTAGTAATATATTACTTTAGCTAGCTTATTAGTTTTTCTAATACTAGATTTAATTACTAATTTTGTATTCTTTATTCTTATTTATTTATATATAACTTGCTTTATTAGCTACTTCATAATATATTAGAGAAGGCAGGCTTGGCGTTACTCATATTACTGATAGGTAACGGGAATAAAGGCCCTTACTTTGGAAACTTTTTCCTCTGTTTTCAGACTTCACTCTGCTGTATCTAGTCATTCTACGCACCGCCAACTCTCAATATATCGCTTTTGTACCAATATATTGATCCCGTTTAATCAAAACTATTCGCACAGCAGGCCATATATTCGCGGCAGCCATCTGTTGCACTCTACAAAAGATCATTGAGCGCAACCTGACGCATATTTATGAAGGAACTCCACATAGACTCGGGTCGCCAGTGACACTAGTAGTGTTTCAATGAACTTAGCCGATATACTTGTAGCCAGATTTTCTTCATTTGCGTCACCTTTAGATCCGAAAATATATCAAACGGGGAGCTCTTGTATGTGACCACCTTCTTAGGGGAATAGTTGATCATATCGCGAACATGCAGTTCTTTTGACGTATGCACAGCCGCTGAGACGTTAAATCAGGATGATGCTCTGCATTTCCGCCCTCTTCGAGAGTTCGGAATCCCAGTATTCTTTCAGGGCCCACACACAACCCACCCTTTCGAACGCGCCTTGCTGTCGAGTTGACGTTCGCAGAATAATGCAGTGATGTCCCTCAAGTTTGGAGAAGCCTCGGTTGATCCTTCCGCCATGAGCGACAAGAAGAATCCATAGAGAATCCCCGTCTAGAAGCTCGATGGCTTCGCCATTGGCAAGAACATCGCAATCAAACCCTCTGCGGACAGGCTGCCTCTCCTCCAGATCCCCATGAGGTTTTTCTAGTTTAACTTGGGGACCGATACGGGCTAGTAGTCCCGATACCTTGAGATATCCAAACCGAACCGGCCCGTAGGGGTTTGCACCGACTGGGATGCAAGATGCTTCAAGGATTGTAAGGTCAGGAATGAGTTCGAAGCTATAATTTCTGCCGGGTAATGCAATATATTCGATTGGTCCTGTCACAGAAGCCCACGACCAGGAAGGCGCATAGTACTTCTGCTGTCTCCTGCTCACTAGAGTCTTCATGTTGTGGTGGTTGACCTTCGTCCGCCAAAGTAAGGCTAACGGAAGCTCTTCCTTCCATAAACCGGCAAGAAAAGAGCCTTTCTCAGATGGTGATATAGTTGCAGCCATACCAGATAAAGCATATAGCCTGTCGGTGTCGTAAGTAATGCTGCGTTTCGTAAAGAGCTCCACGAAATTAACCCATCTCGAACTTTTGGACCACTTTTGACGCGAGAGAATATTCGACTGCTGTATCATAAGTTTGCACGCCCGCAATTGCATTGCAACCGAACAACTTTCGATTTGCTCGGCCGGGGATGTGCATTCGCACTGTACACATGTTGCACAGTCCCACGACATCTCCGCAACTGTGTAGTGGAGAGTGCGTCGGGAAAGGGCCTGCTCCTGGAGAACCCAGCCTCGGGTATCAAGTTTACTTTCATACCACTCTCCACCTGACCGAACATGTGCGAATCCATACCCGGACATGACCTGACGGCTCCTGCGGACATGTATGAAACTTTCTGCACTTGCCGCCCCTGGGCATCGAATACAGGTGACATCGATATTGCGGCTAGGATGTCCTTCTATGAAACAACCTCCATGGCTGTTCAAAGATCCATCAGCTGCAATGCAGACCAAACTGTTGCGATAGACAGTACCCATTTTTTCAGCTTCCCTCTCCCAATCATCCGCGGAATCTTGTATGATACACAAGGAATCTATCCAAATATATTGAATTTTCAGTTTCCTCGCTATAATAATTGAGTCTTTGAATGTTCTTGGCAGCTCCGAGAATCGTATCTCGCGCTGACGTTGCTCCAGCGTGGCTCGAGTTGTCGTCATTGGGACCAACCCTCCCCAACAGTGACTCAGTGCAATGTAGTTAGCATCCTCCTGTTTTGAGACATACAGGTACGGCTCTTCTAGATTAGATCCCACATGGATTACTCTTGTCGGAAGGGGGGTATGTTTAAGGCGCAGACAATCTTGATGAGACTCGGCGCAATTTCTGATCCAGGATGCCGCAAGCTGTATACAATCATCAGATGACGAATCTGAAGATACCTGCCTTCCTACTCCGATAATCGGCCATGGCGAAGGGGAATCTAGCAGATATCCATCAATTAGCTACACTCTAAATAGCAGTGTCTCTCACTCTGTTATCCTTTGCTATTAGAGAACGGAAATCAAAAGCATGGCTGACCTGCGTGGGTATAAAATTCGAACCTTTCTCTAGAGCCTGAGTTCAACATAATTTCAACATCTAGTGTGCCACTGATGTTTCCTATGCACTCTATCTCCCTAATTTCATTCAAAGATCCATTCGATATAGCCGGTAAGGCATTTCGAAGTACAATGCATGCATCGCATTGCAGTGTGTCGGCCCCGCTGAGGATGGCGTTAATCGCAATGGTTATGGATGGTTTAACTCCTTGAGGCTCGGTTGAAGGAATTGCAGAGAATGCGTTGTATTCCCTTGGAGGCCGAGACTGAACAACAGTCTGATACGAAGGTATCTCGAGGTCGTTGCAATACTTGCATGGTGGCATTTCAGCATGGATTCAGCATTGTTGGAGTTGTAGAGTGCCAAAGATAACTCAAAAGTTCAGGTGTGGTAGGAGGGGAGCTTGCGTGACTTTTGCACTTTTTCAAGGTCGATTTTGGTAGAATAACGATGGTGCTCGGTGGAGTGAAGAAATTTTTGAGGTCGCATCTGAGCCGATCCTGGCTGTCATCAGGTGGTCAGCGGCCGAGTTTGTAGGTCGGGTGGACATCCATTGGAGCTAAAATGGGAGTGTACAGCGCAGCGGGTTAACCTGTGCGCTCCACTGGGTGTACGGGTGACCATAGCGACCAAAAGGGTCAATGGCTTTTTCCGCAAAATCGAATTTTTGGAAAATCGCATTTTTGACCCATTACATATTACTTACTTGAATTATTCTACTTTTAATATATTATACGTATTATACAGTACTAAAAATGCCTCTAAAGATTAATCTTAAGCCTTATAAAAATGAGATTCTTAGTTGGATCTCTGAGAAGTATATAATTCCTGAGATTTTAAATAAAATAAGAGGAATTCTATAAGTTAAATATAGTCTAAAAATACTAAAACAAGCTCTTTCTAATTGGGATATATTATATAATAGAAAGAATGGGTCTCCTGAGATTAAGAGGATTAAATTATATATCTTTAAATTATTTATAGGTAATTATAATAATAATATAATTCTCTAAATATTTCTTTACTACTAATAGCTTATATAATATAGGCTAGATCGTTTATTACTAAAGTTTAATATATTCTCTCTTATATAATAATACTAATTCTTTCTTTTAAAAGGGTTTATTATTTTAGAACTAGTATAAAAAATTAAAGAATCGAGTTTTAATAGAATTAACTTAAGAAATCCCGATTATATTACTAGTATATTTATATTTATATCTATTTATATAATTCTTTTATTTAGGCTAATCTAGTATAGAACTTTTTTCAAGTTCTTATAATATACTATAGTATTATATATCTATTATATAATATACTATAGTATTATATATAAATATATAGAATTACTACCAGATCTAGAAAAATCTAAAAAGGAAATACTATATAGTAGGTATTTCTATATTTCTCTATAAATATATAACTATTAAGTAATATAGGCTTTTAGTTAATAAAGAACTCTTGGCTAAATTAGAATAAGATTATATTAATTAGAATAAGTTATTTCTATAATTTCTTTCTTTTTCTAATTTAAATAGTAGTTTATAATATAGCTTAATTTAAGAACTTATTTAATTCTTATTTAAATAAATAAACCGAATTCTAATATCTTTTTATTACTAGTTTCTTTTCTTAGCTCTAGGGTCTTTTAATTAGTTAGTGCTAGGGAATTACGTTCTCGCTTAGCCTTACTCAGATAGCAACTTCTCGCTAGACAGAATTCATTAAGCTTTATAACACACTCAAGATTCTAGCATACCCAGTAGTTAGATTATAAATATATCTTTATATACTAAAATTATTAGCTATAGATATTAATAAATACTTATTATATAATATTTTAATATAATATAAATTATAGCTTATAAATATTAGAATTAATTCTTTAAGCCTTATAAAAAAAAACTAGTAAATTAGATAATTCTAGGCTTTATATTAAGATATATTACTACTTTTAGCTTATTATATAATATTATATTACTAATAGAAACTCAAACCTATAACTAGAACTTATTTTAAAGATTAAAATTAGTACTAAAAAAATATAATAAAACGGATCTTATCTTAGATAGCTAATCTTAAAGAACTAAAAGTTTATAGAAACTATATAATTCTAATAAAAAGAGATTAAAAGAGTAAATATTAGTAGAAAAAGTAATTTAAATAAGTTAAATAAAAAGAAATAGAATAAGAAATAGCCGAATAAGAGAAACTTATTAGAGTAGAAGGCCTAAAAAAAGAATAAATCTTTATTTAAGGATCTTATTATATCTTTATCTTTATTATATAATTTATTTATAATTATATCTTCTTTTTTTCTTTATTTTAAAATATTTTTTAAAAAGATTTCTGGCTTTTTTTTTTTCAAATATCTTATATATAGAAATACTTTTAATAAACCTGGCTAGTTCTAGTATAAGTAATATAATATAGAAATTTCTTATTTATCTAATTTATATAATTTAAGATCTTAGTATTATAGTATTTTTCTAGTTAATCTTATAATATCTTTTCTTATATTATTAAATATAAAAGAAACTAATATTAAGATTTTAGATAATAATCCGGTATTTTCTATTAGTAGCTTCTATTATATAGCCTTCTTTTCTCTTCTTTTATTATTTATAGAGCTTTTTACTAAGTTTTATTAAGCCCGAACTAAACCTAAATAAATAGTCTCTCTAATTAAGTAAGAGGAAAAAAAAAAGCCAGATATCTTTCCTTTATATTATATAATATATAGGTTACTAAATTATATTTAAATTATTCTAGTTAGATTAAATTAAGGCTAAAATTCTCTAGAATAAATAATTCAAGTTTATTTTTTTTATATCTATTATTTAATTATATAAGCCAAGAGTTATTTCTTATATAATAACTATAGCCGGTTTATACTAAGCTTCTACTATTACTATTACTATAAAAGAATAGAAATATCCGAATACTAGTTCCTTTATTCTCTTTTATTATCTATAATCCCAGATAGAAAAATTCAAGTTTAAGTTTTAAAAAAAGATTATATAATTAGCTTTCTTTAAAGTTTAAAGGTATTATATCTAGTTATCTAATAAAGAGCTTAATTCTCCTTTTCTTATACTTTTTAATTCCGTATTCTTAGTATATATATATTTTCCTTATTTATTAATTATATAATACTTATATTATTTTAGGAAATAATATTAAATATAAGGTCTTTAGAATAAATCTTTTAAGATTTAGGTAATAGAATAATAACCCGATATAAGCCTTTATTATTAATAAGCTTATAATAAGTATTTTAAATAGAAAATATAGCCAAATATATAGTTATATAAAGAAGCTAGTTCTTTAAACCGGAAAATATAAGACTTAAATAGCTATAGTTTAGAAAGATAGAAATAACTTCTTTTTATAAAATCTAGGAAAGCTTTTTTTTAGGGAAATTCATATAATAGAAAATTCTTTATCTTATTTAGTTATATTAGTCTAAAAAAATATTTATAAGTTCTAGATTTATTTAATTCTATTTATAGAAGATAAAGACTTTATTTAGAAAAGCCTTTAATATTATTAAAAGAAATATAAGGCTATTTTTATATTATCTAAGCTATTTAAGCTATTATATAATAGAAAAAAGAAGTTATCTTTTTTACTTTCCTCTTTAACTCTTTCTTTAATAGAGTTTATTTCTTTCTAATTAGAAGCTATTAAAAAATAGAAATACCCGGTTTTATAAAACCGTATCTTATTATATAATTAAGTAGCCTAAAAAGTAAATTCTTTTACTAAGCTATTTCTTTACTTTTAACTAATATTTATTTCTAGCCTACTAAAGTAACTAAAGCCAAGTATATAAAAGTCGAGCTTACTATTAAAGTAAAGCTCTCTTAACTAGTTTCGAGACTAGTAATATATTATATAGTATTTATTTAATTTATATACTAATATTTCTCTAAAAAGAAATCTTTTTCTAGCTAAATTCTAGCTTTACTAAAAGAAATTATTTCTTTTTCTCTCTAATCTATACTTTCTAATTCCCTAAAAACTATATATTAATATATAAATTAGTAATCTATAACTCATAAATATAAAAAAATAGCTAAAAAATATAAGAATATACTTTTTACTAAACTTTAAAAGCTTAAGAACTTTATAGAAAAGAAAGATATAATTCAGAACTTAGTAAGCTATACTTTTAAGGAAAGAGAGAGTTTAAGTAATTATATATAGGAATAAATATAATTTCTTTTAAATTCAGAAGTATTTTATTTAGGAGAATAAGCTAAAAAATAAGTTAGAATAGATTATATTTAGACTAAAAAAGATTAAGCTCTAGCTAAAAGAGAAATAAAAAGAACTATTTTACTTATTTAAAGTATATTATATAGTAGAAAAGTTAGAAAGATATTTATAAAAAAGGCTAAATAAATTAAGTCTAAGAATTTAAAAAAGAAAGAAAAGAATCTAAAAAAGAAATAAGGCTTCTAAATTTAGTTTAATACTAAGAAATTCTATATTTATTATATAATACTTTAGAACTAGATTAAATTCTCTCTTTTTTTTTTTAGTTTTTAGGTATTTCTAAATTAAATTATAATTATAAGTAAAATTAAAAGAAGGCAAATATTAAGAATTTAATATAATCTATTAGATATTATATAAAAGCCAGATAATTATATAATATAATAAAAGTAGTTCTATTTATTTATTTATAATAGAAGAAATACTTTAGCTAAAGTAATATTCAGGCTTTAAAACCCGGCTACTTTATATAATTTAAGGAAATTATTGGAATAGCTATACCGCGAATTTCCTAGTTATATAACTAGTTATGTGAGCTCGCGTTACAGGCGTGACTTGACTAGTAGACTAGTCTCTATTAGGCTTAATAAATTTAGGAATCGCATATTAATACTATAATCTATAATTCTTGCTTCTAAATAATAATAACTTTACTAACTTATATAAATAGCATTCTATAATTATATAATAGTACTATATATTTCTGGTAAACCGACAGAAATTTAGGCTATCTTTTACTATTATTCTTTCTTCTATTATTATTAATATCTCGAGTACTATATTAGATTATATAACTATAATAAATATAATTACTATATATTTTATTATAAGTATAGTATTTAGGGCTTAGAAAGCAAAATAGAAGGTTCCTTACAAAAACGATTCAAAGCTAAGAAAAGGAAAACTAGAATACAGGAGGCTTCGAGGGAATATATATACCCTATAGTATACTAGTCCCGAAGGGGCTTAGCCTTCTAAATATCTCTAGTATATTCCAAGTATACTTCCCTAGTGAGGCGGCCGCGTCACGTGTGTCTAGGAGGTATCTGGCATCTAGAAATCGTAATATTACTTTTTTTTTTGGAATAAGCTTATCCCCGAGCTTTATAAAAGCCATTAATCTATCTAATCTCGTACTATTCTCCTTCCCAAAGTGAACTAGTATCTCAGA